TCGAATTTTGGTAACAAATTTGATCTTATTTTGATAACAAATCTCTGATTTTGTTAACAAATTTGATCTGATTGTGATAACAAATCTCGGATTTTGATAACAAATCATTTAAAATATTGGTTTCTTTTGGTAACACACTCCATAGTTATTTACACACAATATATTGTCGATAATCTTTGCGATTTATTTTGGTAACAAATTTCACAATTTGTTCGGATTGTTTGGAGTTAAAATATTGCAAAGAAAAAAAAAACAATTTTGAGATTTGATAAATAAGACATATCAAAATAAAAACATTATTTTTCAATCAATCCAAAAAGCCTTGCCAAATTAAATTGATAATTTTGGTAACCTTATGTCACATTGATATGACACATAATTTTCAATAACCAACAAAATTCGAGACACATGTAACATGTTGCACATTTTTTGTTTTTGTTTTTGTTTTAACAAAAACGAATAAACATATTTTTTGAAGTCGATCGTAATCACATTATTTAAGAAAATAAATCCTACAAAAAACATGACGTAAATCAATTTATATTTATACCAGTATTTTATTGATTTATATAATCTACATTATCCAAACTACTAATGGTTGTTACAAATATATATCTAGAAAACAAGTAACTACTTGAATAAGGGTTTGAATAATAGGATTGATAAGCGTGATCTTATTTCTTAAGCTTATCCGATCGTTTTTAACTTGATATTTTGTAACCATATATGCTCTATGGGTCTGTGTAATGAAACACAATTGGTTGTCACAAAGCTCTCCACTCACGTTTTCGAGTGCAAGATACTCACTGGCAATCACGCAAGTAATAAAGTGTTGATTCCAAGAATGACTATATTTCCTTCTGATATTAGAATTCCTTTCAAGTTTCAGCGTCGACAGTTTCTCATTATGGTTTCTTACGCCATGACTATAAATAAGAGCCAGGGACAATTATTTGCATGAGGGCTTATTTGTTAAGAAAACCAGTATTTTCTCATGGCCAGTTGTATGTTGTTGTCTCCCGTGTCACAAACATAAATAGTTTGAAAATCCTAATTTGTGGCGACGATTACGTGTCAAAGAATCAAACCATGAACGTTGTATATAAAGAAATGTTCAATAATATATAGATTTTATTTTCATTATATTTATTAATTATTAATGACATGATCTTCCTTTAGTAAGTACTTTGAATTTTAATTGAAAATTACTTTTTAAAAGAGACGGGGATAATAAACCTCCGTGCATCGCACGGTACTGTACTAGTTAATATTATTTATTAATTTCAAAATTAAAAACATGTATATACTAAATTTAGGGCTTTAACCGAATATATAGTGATTGGAATTACTTTCAAAATTGGAAATATGTTATGGGCAGAAGAAATAAAAAAATTTTAAAAAAAATCCATTAATAATAAAAATCGAAAATTTGGGCGAGAATTTTCATGCTTTTTATTAGATTTTTTCTTATTGCTATAATATAGTAATAGATTAATTAGGAAAACTATCATGCCTCTTTTACTTAGTTGAATGAGATTGGATTATATAATCAAGTTACTGTTTCACCAGAATTTTTATTCCTTGTTTACAAATAGGATGTGTTTTTTACCAAAATAATATTATGTTTACACAAGTAGATTAAATTGAATGGATTATTAGAAATTACAAATTAGCCATCAACTCCTTTCTCAAATCTCATCACATCTGCAAATAGTCTCCCGTTGATTTTTGCAAAACATTCCACACATCTCAATATTGACTTCTGCAACAATTTCGTCAAATCTGTCGTCGCCACTGTTGTCCCAAATTCTAATCACCACCGATGTCGCCCCGCCCTATGAAGATTTAGGAAATATTCCTAAAGAGATCTAAGTAAATTTGTAAAAATCTACAATTCTACACCTTGATTTAGAATGATTGAACTTTTTGGGGATTAAGGAAACCACTTGTTTAATTGTTTAGGAGAGTAGGTCATTAAAATTTTAAACCCCTTGATTATATATAAGAGTAAAATTAAAATTTATACATTTTCTACTTTTAGGAAAACATGTATGTGACGGCTGGCGCCATGGCGCCTTGGAATTCATGGTCGAGGGAAGGTGGAGGTTTACAACTGAGCAAGGGCTTACTGTAGCAAAAGGGGTTTTTTCTTCAATCTATATTACTTTAGCAAAGGGGCTTTTACATTAATATAATCGGTCCTTAAAAATTGACTTATTTATCAGATCATATTCTACGTGGGACCGTGCGACCGTCACCTTGCCTAATTGGGCTTGAGCCTCGTATAAAGGACTCACAAGTGAGGTAGCGTATTAGAATATAATACCACTTGTGAGTTGTCCCACATCGTTTGTACAGGGATCATAGGCCCAACTTCTAAGTCTAGTGAGCTACTTCTCTTTTCACCAATTGGTTTTGATATGGAACTTCACTTGGGCTTCATATAAGCTCACCCTGTTATGGTGCGCTTTACCACGCACCGCACCTGTTTTCCCTCCATTCTTACATGGTATCAGATTCGGTTTTACGTGGAATCGTACGATGACGTCCCCGTCACCCAACCTAGTTGGGCTTGAGCCTCGTATGAAGGACTCACAAGTGAGGGGGCGTATTAGAATATAATACCACTTGTGAGTTGTCTCACATCGTTTATACAGAAAAAATATGTCTAAGCGTATTAGAATATAATACAACTTTTGAGTTGTCACGCATCGTTTATACAAGAAAAATATGCATAACTTATAAGCCTAGTGAACTACTTCTCCTTCCACCAATTGATTTTTGGATGTAACATCACTTGGGCTTTATCTAGGCTCACCCTCGTATGGTGCGCTTCACGTGCGTGGGACCGCACCCGTTCCAGTCCTCCCCCCTTTCTTACAATAAAAATATTTTAAAATTTTAACAGTTTTATTTTTTTAATAATTTTCATTTATGATATATTAAATAATCGTCAATTGACGATATTCGTTTGACATTCATATTATATGCATAAAAAAATTACATCTACCTTTCTGAATAAATATATTACTACCTAATAATTATAGCTAAAAGATAACAAAATTACTAACATTAGTTAAATAAATTTATAAGCCTATCATACATATTAGTTATTACATAATATGAGTAAGAAGAACTATTATTATAATATACAAACAAATCTATATATATATATATATAATTGCTGGCTCATGAGTGTTTAATAAAACCTATTACATTATATCTATGTGGCAATATAATTTTTTCCCTCAAAAAATCGTTACTTTTTATTTATTTAACCTCTTATTTAATTATTAGATAATCAATATACTAATCACTTCAGAATTACAAAAATTATTTTAAACTTTTGATTTACTTACAACTGACTATATAATGTGTTGACTATTTAACGTGATTAGATATTATTGTTTTGGTTACATTTAAATTAACTTCTTTTGGAAAATAAAAAACGTATTTGAAATTTCTTAATAAATAATAAATAATTCAAAATAAATACATACCAAAATCCCCTCTTAATATAATTTGAAAACGTGCTGAGCCTAAATGGCTGCCTGGCACGCTTCGGAAGCTTATTTGGCAACATTACATGTTTCGGCTTTTGGTTCGGATACATTCCCTAATTGTTTCAAATAAAATACTTAATAAATAGGATTAGGATTCTTATATGTCGTGTAAATCCTCCAACTCAAAATTCTTATCTTACAAAGCTTACTTACATCTTAGGATTCTTATATTATATGTCGTCTAAACCAAAATAAAAAATTTAGCTTTATATATTATTTTATTTATATAATTAATGTAAAAAATTAACTTTTTTATATAGTTTAAATTAAAAAAAAATATTATAATTTTACAAAAAATATATAGCCACTTGCATATTATATCTTTTCAATCCAACCATAAATATATTATTTAAATATTTTTAGAATATCTATAAAAATACATTGAAATAGTTATAGAATATTACATGATCTTTCTGATATATTTTAAAGAATTGAAATAGTTATACAACATGTACTTTTTCTATTATTTTATGTTTTATAACTTTTTTTCAAACAACCCGTGTAGTACACGGGTGTCGTACTAGTATACATTACATCCAATATGATAAACGCAATTTAAAAAAATAAATATTCCAACTCTTTTAATTGTAAATTTGGTCTGCAAAAAGTGTAAGAAAATCATTAATGATTATATGCATACAAATAAATTACAATACTTTATTTATATCTGTGCAAATGCACAGGTCTAATATTACGCGTTAATTATCCTTTACAAAAAAGTACAAATTTAAAAACTACTTTAAATTTTAAACATTTTTTAATTATAAATGCAAGTATTATTAATAGCAATTAAATATATAATCACACGTGTGCTCATTGGCTCGTGGGCCCACCGGCCACCGCCATTGGCAACCAACTGCCAGTGGAGACGACACGAGGTGCGAGTGTATATATACAGTCAGTATTTTAATTTCCTCGGATTAATCTCTTCCTCTTTTAGCGACATTAATCAATCTCTAAAATCGAATTTGTCAGCTGCTTTCATTAGGTTTTCTTCCTCTCCTCATCTCTCTCCCTGCCTCACTAGAGGATCGTAATCGCAGGGGTACTCTCTCTCTCTCTCTCTCTCTCTCTCTCTGAGTACTATTAGGTCTGATTTATTAGGGTTTATTATCTCGGGCTCAGATTAATTTTCTCGCGCATGTTGATTTGATACAGATATTTTTTATACAGGGTTTTTAGTTTTTGCACTTTATATATATGGGGCGTGTATTTCTTGTGATCTTTTTCTGTATTTGTGTGAAATTTGCTATCTTGATGCAAGTATGAATGGTTTTATACTTGGCAATGAGAACTGGGTTTTTGGTTTGGTTTTATTTTGTTGTTAGGTGCTGAATGTGGCTAAATTGATTTTTATTGTTTACAAATTTGATGGTACGTGTGTTCATGATGCGCATTGAATTGATTTGTTTTGTGCTAAAGCATTTAATTTGAGGTGTCTTGTGTTCTCTGTTCTTTTCTTTAATTTTGGGTTTGGACAGTTTGTGATGAGGGTTTTTAAATTTGGTACTTTTGGTTGTTTTTGTGGGTTTTTCCTGAGTGATGAGCAGAAAAGCACTCCACTCAATCTCCCATGAAATGGGATTATTCAGACTTGGCTCGTATATTTAATATTCTTCATTTGATGACAATATTATGGTGTGTAGGTAATCTTAGTTTTCGGCAGGAAAAAATCGTGATGGCTTCGAAGAGAATCTTGAAGGAATTGAAGGATCTGCAAAAGGACCCTCCTGCCTCATGCAGTGCTGGTTCGTGATATATTTCCAGAAGAACTCCTGTAGCTTATTCGATTTTAATTTCATCTTTTTTTATTGATATCAAATCAAAGTGTGAACCTTGATGCGCTTTTCCTTACAACTGCAACTAACAATAGAGCAAGTCCTGCTTGAAGTTGCATTTTGTTTAACCCAAGTAAAGTTTTGGCACATCAAAGCTTATAACTTTGCATGATTATGTTGAATTTCCATTGCACATTATTAATCCTGCATTATCATGAATACTGATCTCTTGATTGGTGAAATTATCAGTTTAAAGGACTATTGTTTTAAGAACTGGACTTATTTTCTAATTAGTGACCATGTCAAGAGTCGAATATCCTGAGGGAAGTTCTTTTGTGGAACCAAGAGCATCATCATTAAGCTCAATGTATCATGTCATAATTTATGCAGGGCCTGTTGGTGAAGATATGTTCCATTGGCAAGCTACCATTATGGGCCCATCAGACAGCCCGTTTTCTGGGGGTTTGTTTCTTGCCACTATCCATTTTCCTCCTGATTACCCATTCAAACCACCAAAGGTAACTTGTTGATAACTTCTATGTTGGGCCTGTAGTATTTTATTTTTTTTGGTAATATTTTAAGGGCAAGATCTTTTGCTAGTTATTTATCAGTGCAACTTGTTAAAACCGACGTGTTTTGGGTTTTGGTGCAATCGTGACTTTTTGCAGATTTGNTTCTTCTGTTCTGTCATAACTTTTTTTGGTCTCTACTTGTGTGCTGAACAGGTCTCCTTCAAAACTAAGGTTTACCATCCGAATATCAACAGCAATGGTAGCATTTGCCTGGATATCCTCAAAGAGCAATGGAGCCCTGCCCTTACAATATCCAAGGTAATTTACACGGTGTACTGATTTTATTTTTGTTTTTCATTTTCTTTTTAATTTTTTCAATTGTTGCCGTGGTTCACTATCCACTCCATATTTTCCTGAACAGGATTAGCATTTGCATGTCATAACATTAGTTTCCTGTTGTAGAACTAAATCGATGGCCAAAGAATACGTCTTTTTTCAAACGATTTTCAGCGATTTTTTGATTGTGTACTCTTTTTATTTGTATTTTGATTTCAAGGATAAAATTACAAAATACTCATTAGAATTAGTTTGTACATTGCAAATTACACTTTGATGAAGCAAGGGATCATATCAGTTAGCTACATAAAAATTCAACGGCCGTTGTTAATACTTAACTGTAGTTTTAACGATGGCTTTGTGGCTTTGTTGTTATGTGCAGGTTTTGCTTTCTATCTGCTCGTTGTTAACTGACCCGAACCCGGATGACCCTTTGGTGCCTGAGATTGCTCACACATACAAGACTGATAGAGCCAAGTACGAGACCACCGCGCGTGCCTGGACTCAGAAGTATGCTATGGGTTAGAAGATAACGGCACTTCCTATTCTACTGGCTACAATAAAAAATGACTTGGGAAAAGAAAAATGATTTAACTTTAAATGCAATCTGGAAATTCTGGCCAGTGTATTATTGGTTTTGGACGGTTTACTTCAATGAACATTAAGTTGATATGTTCTTTATCTAATGCTGATTTTTTTCTCTATTGTGTTGTTCGTGCTTGCTTTTGATTTTTTTGTTTGTGTGTTGTGTTTTATTGTCTGTTTTATTGCTCCAGTATACTAAAAATCGGCCCAGGCACTTAGACGATTCTGGGCGGGTCTCATAACACAATCATAAATTTTAGGGCAAAGTAGTCATTCACACTTTAGATATTTTATAATACTCTTCGATGAATGACTATTTTCTATACATATCTAAATTAATTGGAACAAAATCCAAATCAAGCATCTTGAAGTGTAGCTTGTGACTATTAAAAATTGGTGTTTCAGCATGTCGGAAAATTCCGTAGGCAAAACTTCAGCATTGTAGAAACATATCATTGCTCTCCTCAAATAGATTATATTTAGTGAATATTCATGTATTGCCTCATTAAAACCTTGTTAAGAAAAACAGTGAGACAAAACTTGATCGAAGGAAAAAGAGTAAGTCTACTCCGATACTTTTTTATCATCATGAAAAATCTTTATCATTTATCTTGTAATTCTCATTATACTATGAATATGTCTCGTTAAAATCTTATTAGGAAAAACTCAGTGGTACAAAATCTTAATGAAGGAAAAAAAGTTCATTGTTCATGTGAATACGTCATCAATGTTGACTCATTAAAAACCTTGGTGAGAAAACTCAATGGGACGAAACCTCATACAAGGAAAAAATATTAAAACACGTATTTCATATATTCATCATAACAATCTTTTCATAATTTGTACAAGTGGCAACAATATTCAATATCATACCATGCTTTGTGCAACTTTCAGTCTTAATCTCATTCTCATTGTAGGTGGATTTCAATAGTCTTATTGTCAATAGTATTCAATATTTACATTTCAGTTGATTTCAATCTCGTCAATATTACTTATAGCGCTATTCATATGTTTGTGTCGACACCTATACATTTCCGTTGATCTCCATATTAATGCAATATATTGAGATATCTCATTATCAACTGATTATTCTGCCTACATACCTTTCATCGATAGTATATGTTAAAGGTAGGCCGCCAACGGTTATAAGATGTGTTTAATTAAGGCAAGCAACAGAATCGGAAGTTATTTGTTATTGTAACGATTTAGGAAATTAAATTTAGTAAGAGAAAAAAAGAAACTGCGGAAAGTAAATCGACACCGATTTTGTCGGTCCACAAAGGGGTGCGAGTAGGAGATTTGAATCTCCGAACCTATTTTATTGGTTGAAATATTACCGACCCATTGGATGTTTACCCATATTGCAAGCGACCACATGAGGCGTTAGCATATGGGAAGAGAAATTTTGGCACATTCAATTTCCAATGTCTCATGTGATGTAGCTATACGGGTGGGGCCCCACCGACGGGTCATTTTCTTCTTCGTTCAAAATTATTCAACATTTTGCAGGTGAAAAATATTCCAAGCTTTTGGTTATCATCTTCAAGATTTTGTTAGTTTCCCCAGAAAAAATACAGGCACGTTTATTCAACTTTTTGAATCATTAAAGTAAAGATAATTTTGGTCTTTGAACTAACTCGAAGTCTTATCATTGTCACATAGCATTGTACATAACTACGTTGGTTATTCCTTTATTCACCGTTACATTAGTCAAAAAAAAAATAATTAATTCTTAAGTTCATGTACAAAGCAAACATTGCTATAAAATATTTTGTATGTTATATTTTTTGGCTCATTATATATGCTA